AATTTTGGCAAATGCTTGTAGTCATGTAACCACCACCATGATCAAATTATAGGAAAATTCTACCTACCCTCAGATTTCTGTTGTACCCACTTGTGGTCAAATTCTGTCTTTATCTTCAGTTTCTGGCACCCACTGATCTGTTTTCTGCCCTGTATTTTTACCTGTTCCAAAATGTCGTATAAATAGAATTGTGCAGTATGTATAATCTTTTGAGTCTAGCTTTTTATTTAGCATAATATACTTGAGATTCATTAGTGTTACTATATATGTATTGGTAGTTCATTTTTTTTAATTCCTTTTTAGTGCTAAGTAGTATTCCACAGTGTGTGTGTGTGTGTGTGTGTGTGTGTGTGTGTGAGAGACACATTCACCTGTTGGATGTTAGGGTCGTTTCCATTTTTTGGCAATTATGAACAAAGCTGTTAGAAACATTTGCTCTGTAAGTTTTAATTTTTCTTGGGTAAATACCTAGCAGTGGTACTGCTGGGTCATATGTTATGTGCATGTTTAACTTTATAAGAAGCTGCCCAAACGTTTTCCAGAGTACTTGTACCATTTTGCATTGCCATCAACAATGCTTGAGAGTTCCAGTTGCTTTCATCCTTATTAGCACTTGCTATTGTTAGTTATTTTTATTTTAGCTGTTTTAATAGACATGTAGTATTATGCCATTGTAATTTCAATTTACATTTCTATAATGGTTAATGCTGTTAAGCTTTTTTTTATGTGTTTTTCCATTCATATATCTTCTTTAGTAAAGTATTCAAATTTGTTGCCTGTTTTAAAAATTGAGTTGTCTTCTTATTGTTGAATTCTTTTTAAAAATTGGGGTTTTATATATATCATATTTTTATATATGCACATATAGAAGATAAAATAAAAGCATAGTGGCTTAAAACAACAAACATTTAGTTGCTTTTGCTTATTCAACTTATGATGGCCTCAGCTGGGCTGTTTTTGCAGTTATATCTTGGATCATTCATGTGGTTGCAGCTTTCTGGTGGCTCCTTTGTGGTTGGGCAATCCAGAAGACCTTACTCATGTGTTTGGTGATAAGCTGAGGCCATCAGTTGGTTCCCTTCCATGTGGCTTCTTTAGCAGGATAGCCCAGGTTTTTTTACATTAGTGTTCTAAGAAAGCAAGAACAGAAACTGCAGGTCCTTTTAAGGCCGAGCGTCAAGTCACACAGTGTCACTTCTGTCATATTCTGTTAGTCTATGCAAATCAAAGGGGGATACACCATATTCAGGGAATGGAAGGAGGAACTGCAGAGAATTTTATAGCCATATTTAACCTACAATTCTCATTTCCAGATGTAATATTGAATAAATTAGATTAGGTCAAATCATGGTTGTCATGCACAGCCAGAATTTAGTTTAGACTTAGTTGATAGCTAATAGGGTGCTGTAGTTGGGTTTTCAGCAGAGGAATGATACAGTGAAAATAGTTGAGAAACATTTAGGTTTTCAGATGGATTTGGGGCATGTGCCTGACTGGAGTGAAATTAACTGGGAAACAGTATTATTTTAGAAATGAGGTGATGCTGACTTAGATTAAATTAGTGATTTAATCTGTTGGTTTTCGTACCCAGATATGTGGTTATTTTCTGTTTCTGATATGCTTGTATTTGGCTTCCCCCAGACATCTCTTTCTTATTGATTAATTGCCAGCACATTAGGTATACATGTAGTAAGCTTTCTTTTAAAAACACAGAAATCATCACTTTCTCAGCCTGCCTTCCTATGCTTCATGTTTGTTTTGTCCAAACCTTTAGTAATGTGAAATTACTATCAGTTCACAGAATCTTTGCTTCTTGGGATTTGAACTTGCCACCTTGTCTCCCAGTCAGAGTTGAAATTTAGCAGAAACACCTGGAAAATTATTGAACCTTGTTCATAACCCCCTTGAGCAGTAAACCTCAAACTGGACATATGTCTAAACAGGACAGATCTTATAAAATCTAAAGAACACTTAATTGACAGCTTTCCTCTTAAATCCTTGTTATTCTAAGTCCATTAATTTTTGAGAATACAACTTAAAAAATTCAAATGTAACCGCGTAGCCTATTAATAAAGTTTTTTATTTGTTTGTTTTGCTTTTTGTTGGTCCAGGAAGGCAGAAAAAATTTCTTCTGGAATTTAGATATTAGCTGTAAATCGTAAATTTATAAACCATGAAGAATATATAATTAACTTATGGTTACTTGTTTTTCTGAGCTATGTAGTAATCTTTCCAGATGTATTAGAGCTAAAGCATAAATCTTCTGGTGGAAAAATTTGTCCTAGGCATGGAAGTATGGAACAGTGATATGGGTGGAAA